AATAGTCTCAAAGTTCTTCATTTTTAAATATTTTATTTGGGTCTGAATTTGTTCAATAATTTAATCTTTTATTGTCCTTTTGCAGTAATCTTCAAAACAAAGAGGTCAGATACACGACATCTAGCAATGTATTCAATTGTATTTTCTCTTGTGGTTTTGCATATTCATTTTTCTCCACATAAATATACATATACCATATTGTTTGTTTTCTTCAGTACTTGCGTAGGACTCTTCAGCAAATAAGAAGTGAAAATGAAATTGCTCTACAACTTGCCAAGTTTGTCCCCTCTTCTCCATGCTCTTAAATTATTTTCAATACAAGTAATGAAGAAATGAGAAATATTTGCGTGTGACCGTAACATCACCACGTGGTGGTATTATAAATCTACCAACATTATAACGCGTGATGATATCGAGTTTATACTTTATAATATATTAATAAATGCATATGAGTTATAATAGGTGGATTTATAACACCACGGCCACACCGAATAGTTTCACGGTTTTCTATAAATAGCTTGATTGATTTTGTTTGTTTCTTCCTTTGTGTGGCCTCAACTCTGAATGCTTGAATCGAAGTAGTCCTACGGCTGTTAGCTCTGAAATTGAGGTACAAACTTTGTTGCTTGTGTGAGGTTGTTTTTGTAAGCTTATGTTACTTTGTTTTTTTTTATGATTCTTGACCTTTACATGTTTTTTATTTTTTTATTTCTGAGAAGAAAACAAAAAATATGTTTATTTTTTCTTATGATTCTTGACCTTGACATGGTTAGTTCCTCTTTAATTATAGGAACTTCAACGGGAAATTGGAGGACTACAGCAACAACTTCAAATGGCCGAGGAGCAGATAAGGTATAAAATAAAAAACCTATAAGTAAATATATAATTTATTTTTTCTTCATTTTGCCAACATATTTCATCTTAATTTTCCTTCTTTAAGCTATAAAATTTATATTTCTTTGGCTGATAAATTTATATAGGATATATGAGCCTGACCCATTAAAAATCACATCTATGGCGGAGTTTGAATCCTGCGAAAAAAGCCTTATGGACACATTGACGCGTGTTATGCAGAGAAAGGTTGAGACACCCCCTCATCATTTAATTAAATTTATTTTTCTAGTTTCTTATGAGGAAGATAACTTAATTTTTCATGATCTCTATTTTCATTTTGCAGGAATATTTGCTGAGTAATCATCTTTCTTCCTATGATTCATCTGGAATGCAGGTAAGTGAATCGATGTTTAAAGAAAAGTCATTATGTGTTAAGATCGGCTTAATTTCACCTTGAAACTTAAAAACGAGTATTTAAGGGGTAATTACATGTCATCTTTGAATATAATATGTCTCTTGGGGCCTTCAAGATCCAAGGCAACCAGCTTACACTGATGGATCCGGTTCAATCTTATATAATTTTAATCGGTTTTGATGATTTGTTGAATTTTTTAATTGAATTCTTAAATATGTACCGTAGTGCATAGAGGTTTCATGCTTTTCCGCATTTGAAATTGCATAAATTATAAACAATTTAAGTCATTTTTCATAATTTTGTGGATATACAGCAAGTGTTGCCAGGCTCCTTCGAGAATGAGGTTGCAGGTTGGTTGTCTAGCGGTGGCCACAACCAAGCCCAAATTTACGATGCATCTACTCCCTTGGATCATCAACTTAGGTACCTAATTAATCGAATTAAGGTTTGTGAATTAATTAATTAAATTATAATGAAATACCTTAATTTTTTCTTAATGTATAGGAACTTGTCATCGACACTGTATGATCCGTTTTCTCAAGGAACAAGTTCAAATGCAGATCCAAGTAGCATGGGAGAGTGTCATGTGAGTGTCACAAATGCCAGTGATGGGGAGCTTCCACCATGGTCTCAGGCTTACACTAATTCCTCTGGGCACCCCTCCACCCTCATGCCCTCAGGCTTATTGCCACAATTTCAGGTTCATTTCTTTCTTCTACATACACTCTATTTCATCTTTCAATATTGTCAATAAGGGTTGCCAAAAGCAGGTGTGATGATCTTATCAGATGTCTAGCATATTAGGTTAGTCAGGACTGTGTGCGGACGTAATTTTACCTAATCAATTATTCAAATTCACAGTTTAACATCTTAACATATTTAGAGTGTTTGCTACATACACTCTATTTCATCTTTCAATATTGTCAATAAGGGTTGCCAAAAGCAGGTGTGATGATCTTATCAGATGTCTAGCTTAGTCAGGACTGTATGCAGATGTAATTTTACCTAATCAATTATTCAAATTCACAGTTTAACATCTTAACATATTTAGAGTGTTTGACAAGAGAATTTACTACCGCGTTTTACAAGATAGTGTTTGTGGTTGTGAAACTAGAAAAGGCCAACATTTTCCTGCCGTGACCTAAACACCGTGGCTTTAGGCTGTTTTTCTAGTAGTATGAGCCATGAATATAGATTTGTTATTTATAATCTTGGGTTGGCGTTCTAATTGAGTCAATTAATTTGAATGATGGTGCAATTAAGCAGCATACAATGGTAGGCTCGAACATGCAAGAAATAATGCCACACGAGCAGGTGGAGATCCCAGTGGGCAGCCCCAATGTTCAAGGTTACAATGAAGGTGCAGATTATCATGAAAACAAAGTCCCTCAGCTTAATGGACATTAATGTGTGATGCCGCAGCATATAAATATATACATATATATAAATAATATAAAACCTTAGCGTGCTGTTATAATTTGTAGCAATACATGTAAGTAGGAGAATCTAGCAGCTCACGAGCTGCCACTGAAACTCTTGTTAAAACAACTAACAAATTTTTGTGTTTTATAATTTTTTTTTCTTTCTGTTTTGGTTGCTTGGTTGGATTATGACGTTTAAGTGTTTATTGGAAGGTGTGTGTAGTTTGAATGATATCCTATTTTGATCCATATGGTTTCAATTAAGGGCATATATATTATTACGATTTTGAATCCTAAGCGGATTCAGGAATTTTACAGGAAAGGGGCATTTTTAAGTTGTGTTAAGACACAAGATAAAATGAATATGGCAGAAACCACCCCCCACCAGCCACTCTCTCTCTCTCTCTCTCTCAGATTAATAACCAAAGAACAACAGCAATTCATAAAAAATAAAAATAAAAAAAGGCAACAGCAGCAGCATATATCAAAGATTACTATAAAATCATATACCAATTCCTCATTTTGTACTAACCTTCATGTAGAGAGATGAGAGAGTCTATTTTCTAATTCCTTTGAATAGCAAAGCAGTCACGCACGCTGCAAGAACACTTCTAAAGTTCCATCCAGGGAGCTTTTTTTCAATGGACTGAGTTGGTGCTTAGGCTTCTTCGGGTATATGTTTCCCTTTCTTTTCTTTTTGCCTAGCATAAAACCTAGCCTCACTTGAACTTTTTTTTTTCTTTCTGGACTGAAAGAAGCACTCGACTTTATGTAAACTTTTGTACAAAAATAATTTATATAAATTTCTATAAATTATTTTCGAAAGACAAAAATAAAATTATAAAAGTCCCATATACCTCTGACATCGTTCATGTTTATCTCTATGAACTATAACCTTGACTGGAAGAAGGCATCTTTTTTACCTACAACTTGGTCGACAAGTGGCAAAACAGAACAATTAGCAGACAAATTTCCATGCAGGCATACAACTAAGGTTTGGCCATGGGCCAATGGCAGGTCCTGTAGCGTGGCAAAGCCAACCAGGAGACTCTGAGTTCTTTCAGTTACGAAAATCTGATGATTTTAATTGTTTTCAAATGTAAAACAAATGAAGGTGTGAAAATAATCGTGTTTGGTTCACCTTCTTGCTCATGAGCGACACTTTGCAGTCAAGTTCAACTGCAGCCAAATTACACATGTACATGCATGCAAATTACCACACAAATATTGATTTGTATTTCATTAATTATTATAAATGAAAATTCAAATAAGCATGAATTGTTCACTCAAAATTTGAATAATTAGGGGGGGGGGGAAGCTTAATTTGAATATCGAAGCAGAAGACTAATTAACATTTTGAAAGAGTTTCATGCTCCACCACTCCAAGTAACCTCACACACACACACATTATGTGATGTAAAAAAGAATTCCTTAATTATATATGGTTATTCATATAATTAACCATGATTCATTTGGAAAATATGTCCTTAAGCATCATTCAATCCTTCAGTATTTTAGATTGTGTGAATTGACAAATTAAAGGGAGTTTCCATTCAAAACTCAAGCATACTAATGATAAAATGATGAGTTACAAAATGTTAACCGCCGGACACACGAGTAAACCCCTCCTTACTTATATTACAAGTCTTCCTTCTGCCTTGGAGACCCAATCGGCATATAAGAATATTTGTCCATATGTAACGGAAATTGATCCCGACAAAGAAGCTAGGAATCTATGCGGAAATTCATTGGCATAAGTACTAGAAGTACTTGATCTATGTGATATACTACACAAAATGTTTTACGCACACGTGTACGTATTGGAAGTTGATTAATCATTTGATGAAGTTACACAAAGGAAAGTGTTATTTCCGCTCCCAGATTCCCGGCAATTCTTGCACCGAGTGTATATACAAGAGGTAAAAAGCTCACGAACAACACACCATTTTGAACACACATGCACTCATATTAATATGTACTAAACCCTTTTGTCATGCTGTACTAAACCCTTTTGTCATGCTTAACTAAACAAAGGAGGCTCTTTTGTGGCCTAATTATAAGTATCTTAATGTATATGCCTCTCACCAATTACCAAATTATTAATAAAATTTGAAATTAAAAGAAAAAAAAGGTTACACTAATGCTTAAAACACTTCCCAAGTTCGGAATTGTTACTTTTTTCTTCTTCTTCTTTTTTTTCACCAGCTGACCTCCTTTATCTTTTTGACACATATTGGTTTTTTGCCTATAAATAAGCTGTAGCTCCTAAGCCATTTGAAGATACAAACAACGTCGTTAATTTTATCTTTGTGTGCCTGTCTTCCAATCCCATTAACAACTAGAGGTATTGGTATTTACTTTCCTTTCACTTCCTTACTCTCCTTCCCCATCCTCAGTCTTCTCCTTTTTCTTCACATCCCCCATCCCCCTCTTTTATTTTTTGTATTTTTGTTGTGTTTTCACATTTCCAATTACACAGAAAAGAACATTTTGTAATCCCTTTCTACTTTGTTGTGTCCATTTTCATCATGTACAGGAGTACAGGGTTTTTATTTATCTTGCTTATTAGCTTTCTGTGGCGCGTGAGGAGGCATATTCGCAGGTAATTCACAAGAATCTCCTAGAAAAATAAAAGAAAATAACTTAATTTGGAATTTATATATGAAAAAGAGTACCTTTTGATTTGGTTTGGCTTATGCAAGTTTGATTTAATCTACACGTTTTTTTGAGTTTTGGATCTCTCTTTTATATAACATTTATATCCAAACAGTCACTCTAAATTGAATATTTTATAATATCCCTGTACTCACAACAAAAAAAATATATAGAAAATTAAAGCTAAAACCAAGAAAGCCAAACAAGAACTTTTCAAGTTTTGGTCACTCTAGCATGAACTTTTCACAATCCTGGTTGCACCAATTTAATTTATAGTCCTTCTTGTTCTTTGAGTTGCACTTTCATTTTGCATGAGTATTGGCTCAAAATTATGTGATTTGATTAAAGCTGTGCCAAGTTTTTGACATGCCCAAAGATTTTGCTGAGTTATCGGACTCATGTTTTCTTTTCTTTTCTTTTCTTTTCTTTTCTTTTCTTGCTGGAAACTCATGTTTTCTTTGGTTTTATCAAATAGGGGGTTTTTGGAAAGAAAATCTGGCCCTTCGGCCCCTGCTGTTGCATGTATCGACTGACCTTAAATTTGCTGCCTTTTGAGCAAAGTCAAGTTATTCCCTCTATTAAAAGTGTGTCAGATGTTTTTAATGGGTCCCATATTAGGACTTATCTCAAGTTTAAATTTTTTTTTGCCTGTGGAAAGTGCGCAAAGTCAAAATTGAATGACCTTTCATGAATTGTTTTTGTATTTAAATAGGTTATATATTATTTAAATGATTATTTATAATATCTTTTTTTTATAGCAAATTTATTTAGTCCCATAAATGCCACGAAATTTATAATTTGATGACCATTTATAAAAATATAAATTATACAATAGATTAATTTGTAGCATATATAAATTGGGATCAGAAAGAATCAGATGGAGAATGAGTCGTCGGCTGGCGAAGGAGGAGCTCCTTTTGATCAGTTTAACTTCACTTTTGACGACGACGACGATGATGATGATCACTTTGTCACCAATCACAACATGCAAATGCCTTCAAACCAGAAGAATAAGGCTGCGGTGAACTTATACACTTTACCATTTTCAATTTAATTAACATTTCTCAACAAAAATATGACACATATTTTGTAAGTGATAATAATGCTACTTAGTTGGATATCATTTGTAAGAAAAATATCGCTAACAATGATCAGTAAATGTGATACAAATAGTTTTACTTTTTTCCTACGTCCAATGCTTAATTATTTTAAGGCATAATATGTGATGCTTGTAGCAGGAACATGTTGATCTAGGATCATTAAGTAGTGGAAGCTCTCAGCCTATGAATCGGGCAAGGTCTAGGGAGAGCGTAACGGTGTCAGCCTTCACTCCTTTTAGCGGACTATCAGATCCTCTCCATGAGCAACCTGCAAACTTGGCATCAATGGGGGCTTCATCTTCAACTCCATTAGTTGAGATGCCGCAAAGCCACCGTCACATAACAGTATGCAGCTGGCCTCGTTAACTCATTTTGTATCTCTCGATTTTAGTTTTTCAGAAAAAAAAAACTAGCATGCTTGCATTGATGATGCCATTGTTAATCACATTTCAAAGGGAGCATTAGTCATATTTTTTGTATTGATGTTGATCAGATTGAAGAACTCAGTCACGCATTGCAAAGTAATGAGTCTCAACCAAATCCGGAAAAGTCAGGCCCTTCAGTTTCCAACGTTCCGTCACAGGAAACGGCCATTAATCCTGAACTTGAAGGAGCATCACAACCGCATCCTCCAAGAATGGTAAGACACTAAAACGTAATTTGATATAGATATTATAATCTGATATGTACGGTCAGATTATCATTTTAAATCATTAATTACGTCATTTTTTATTTGAAAGTACTGATTTTAACCGCAAGTCTAACAACATTACATGTTAGACTATATGATAAAAGAACATTTCCGGACCTCACTTCGAGTTTATGTTATTGCACATAGGTTCACTTTTGTGCAATCTAAGACTAAAAATTGTTTTTGATATGTTTTCAGGTTTTGTTTAGTTGATGTTGATGATTATTCTTGTTGCCTTCTTACATAGGATAATCTCGAGCCCGGATCATCAGCTGGAAATAACTGGTTCAGTCTAAATCAAGCAAATTCCAACCAAATTTTCATGCCGGGAGCTGTAGGGTTTCCAAGCTATCAGTACTCTAACCCTCCACTTATGTTTGCTCAAAACGACAGGGAAACAATACCGTTTTACTTCAATTTGCCCATGCCAATACAGCCACATCGTCCAAGACCGGTATGTATACCTCAAGCATTTTACTGTCCTCCAATTTAGAATTAACATGGTTTTTTATCATGTTTGGGCTACATTATAGTAATGGTTCTTGAATTGTATCTCGATTTGTATTTTCGTCCCTCATTTTCAATAACAGTTGTTGCCGTCCTCAAATTAGGATCCATAGTGCAATGCGAAACCTAATTTTAAAAACAACACCAACTATTATTGAAATTCAGACACAAAAATGAATTTTGGGATACAATTCAAGGATCATTGCTACAATTTAGCCTTATACTTCAGTAAATTAAGCAACGAGAACTCAAACCGTTACCAAAGCATGCAAGATTCACTATGTGATCCATATGCACCTACGGCTAACAATTATCCACGACTGTCTTTGACATTTTGATCATGAGCAGATGCATATGGGAGTAACTATCCGTGATGGTGTGGTGGAGCCTCACCATCCAGAACCAGAACCAAATGTAGCAATTCAGTCACATCCCCAAATGGAGCAAGTGCCTCTGTAAGTCGAATACTACTCTTTTGGAAACTTTTCATTTGCTAAAGCTTGCTACTGCATACATTCTGATTTCAAACATATATTACTTGATGCACAGGTCTCTAACTTTGGGTCACAGTCAATATGGCATAAACACAGTAAGTTCTCTGTCTTGACCCTTCAAAATCTGTTGTAAAATAATAATAAAAGATATCAGTTTCATGATATTTCACCAAGCAATTTGACCACAATACTGTTGTACACAACTTGTTTGCTGTAAGCAGATGATGGCCGGGCTAGGAGTTGCAGATCAAAGGCCATCCCTGAGCAACCAGCATCAAGCCACTTTGTACCCCCAGCAACTCAATGATCCTCCAAGGCCTTGGACCCCATCAGGGTTCTGGTACATGACCTGCCATAATCACCATCTCGGTTGACTGCTCTTATAACATTTAGTATGCAAGTATGCAGTTATGCTTATGCATTGACATGCTTAATTTCAATGTGATAATTGAATTTAGGACCCAAAATAATCAAGTTATGCCAGCTAATGGAGCGTGTAACCAACAATGGACCAACTGCATACCCTATGGAGCTGTACAGACAGGGTACACAAAATTCAAATTTTGCAAGGTGAACACAAAATCATTGTTTATGAACACATTGTTAACTTCTCTATATTTATGTATCTGATTCAGGCCCCAAGGACCACAGCAATTACTGAACCAGCCACAACAGCTGAACCAAGTGCAGCCACCAAATACTTTTGGTTCACAACAATGTCATCACCCTAGGCGATCTGCAGGGCTTTCTACACCTCTCGGGTATCTGATCCAGCCTTCATCTTTCTTAATCTTTTAAATTAGTTTCATCATGGAAGTTAACAGTTGATCAAAGACTATGAACTTGTTGTATATCTTCGGAGTTTAGGCCTCCTAAGCATACCAAGAGCCAGAATGTGCTGGCTCCCTGGATCCTGGAGTCTTCGTTTGCTGCAAGGTAGTATATATATGCTACCAATTTCATTTGCTCCTACACCATTGATAATGCTTCACTGGAATAGATATTGAATATAGATAACCACAGTTGTATAACATTGAGCAGAGTATTGTAATATAGTTCAATCTTAATTTTGAAATTTAGGGTCCAGTCTTTGCCTGAAACACAAGATAATCACACCCAGGTGGTGCCACCACACCATTCTAATTCTATAAAACCTGATCCTTTCATGTAGTCTGGGTGAGCAAATAGAAACTTGAAGTCTTCTATATATGAAAGAGAAATACTTTCTTAAGCATTTGGAAAAATGGTAAGCACAACAAATATTATTTTTATGATTATGGGTTGTTGGAATTTAATTAGGCTGGGGCAAGTATCAGATCATCAGGAACAACCTAACCAAGATTCAAGGGCATCTAATGTAGCTTATCCACAGCAACACAACTCCATAGTTAGTGGACCTATCATCGCATCTGGGTACACAATTATTCAATTTCATAATTTAATTTCCATGTTATTATAGAACATACAACTATGTTTGGGCCAATCCAAGGTCGGAGGAGGAAGTTAAGGCCAAAACAAATTGCTAACTCATTTTGCGCGCTGATAAAATCCATCCTGAGCATGGCACTGTGTTTGCTAGGTAACAGACTCCATATTTATCTAATGGGGCTGAATTTTGGATATGTTATAGTACACACCCATTGGAACAACTTTCATGAAGAATGCTGCCTAATCCGAGCTGTGTAGGTTGCTGAAACAAAGCTTGCAATATGACCTACGAAACTGGAATGGCAGGGGGCTGTAGCCAAAATTGAGTTTGTCTTTTAAGCTCTTCATCCATTCATCCAAATTAGGCCTTAACATGCTTGAATTGCATGAATTATGCTCTCTTGCCCTATTTGCCTACAAAACACACAAAGGGAGGCAAATAACTTAGAAATCTAAGAAACTAAGCAAAAGAAGTAAGTAATTAGGGCATGTATATGTATGAAATTATGAGCTTAACAGGTACACAATTATGCAATTTCATAATTTAATTTCCATGTTATTATAGAACATACAACTATGTATGTGCTTATTTAATTCCAATAATGTTCTTCCTCCTTCTTCTTCCTTAGGCCTCAGGGAAAAAAGGATCCTCATTTGCTTATATTATGTATTCTTTCAAGGAAAAAAGGAACTGCTTCCTTTTGAAAGAAAAAAAGTGCCATGTTTAAGATCAAGTTGACATGCTAGTTATCTAGAAGGGTTTAGTTTTCTGTTGGACCTATGTAAAGGGGTTTAGTTTTCTTGGTGCTTTCATCTTCATGCTCTTACTGAATTCTTTTTGTAGGTTTGCTCCTGTCCAACTTTATGACATACTGAATCAATCTACTATTCCAAGTGATAGCAGTTCTCAGAGGAGTGTTCAATTCCGAAACTCCCCAACTGAACAAGTAAGAGTCTTCCTCTCCTCACTCGATGATTTTCGAAACTTCAAAGCGGTATATATAGCTAGAACTCTACATTTGTAAATTAGGGGTCTCTCTCCTATCCACTTAAGAATTCTTAGTCGCACATTTTTGCTATGCACATTGGACAAAAATCCTGTCAATAGGTAGTTTCTTTTTTCTTGTGTAACTTTTGTAAATAAGTGTTTTGTGAAAGAAAAAGGAAATTGTTGTAGCAGGGGACACCAGAACCACAAGACTATGCTGTCAAACGACGCGGCAAACAACTTCAATTAGGAGAGTCATCGTTGCAGGCCAAACGCTCCAAGGTATCAACTTTTCAGTATTACCTTGCATTACTTCCCATGGTTTTGCAAAGGCTTAACTGCGGGCAAGAGTTTCAGAACTGACATTGTACTATCACTGATGAAAACATCTTTCACTGGTCGGATCAAATGCAGAGGAATTCAGCAGCTTCTAGTCGTACAGAAGTCAACAGGAGTACTTTTGAATCTCAAGAAAAAGAAATGGATATGTTGTCTAACCTTTTCTCCCCTTCTAATGCAAGGTCTACAGAATTTTATTGAATGATGTTCTTGTTTTTCTTGGTAACTTCCAACTGATTACAGTTTTTATGGTTTCAGGGAAATAAAAAATAGTCTTTATGACCCAGCGTTTGAGGCAATCAGCCTGCCTATTGATCCCCATCTTCGAATGTTTCAAGCAAGCAAGCAATTCCTCCAATGAAGAGATAGTGGGTTTTGGTCACCTTTAACTTGTCTGGCAAGGGTTAAGCCTTGCTATAATATATCTTACTGTATTAAGGTCAACTAATAAATAGACAGTGTAATTCTGACATTATAGTCCATCATAACTGTTTAAGGGCACATTCCTTTATGAATTTTGTAAAATGTTTTTATATTTTTATTTTAAGTTTTCTATCTAGTTCCAGTTCTCATGTATATGCATAGAAATCAGATACTTTAAAATCTATATATAAAAATAATGACTTGAGAATTTAATGGAGAAGCATGGCAAACATGGAATTAAAAAATGTAATAAATATGTGAATGAGAAAGAGAGAAAAAAAACCCTTGAATAAGAACACATCATCCCCCTATATGTAAGGAAGAGGAGGTGCCAATAGGTTAAAATCCATTAAAGAGTACTGATAATTGGTACAACATTCCTTGTTATGAAAATAGGAAGATCAATAAACAATTGCCTCTTGGCTTTTAACATTTGATTGATTGGAAGGGAAGTGCATCATGAAGAAGAAAACTCAAGGTATACTCCGGTATAGCAGTGTTTCATTTGGGGAAGTGGCTTTTATCCACAGTGAGTAAGCTGCTGCATTAAGGTACAGCTAACCGGTGCAGGAGCCAGGATGAACATGGTAGGTGGGTGATAGAATTGACGTGAAACCACAGATCCTTGCGAAACAAACGAATAACAGGTTTAAATCGGTTCATACTAACAATCGTCCATATAATCCTCAAGAATCAAGCTTGCCTGGGGAGGTTTGATTTACAATTTGTAGAAACAAAGAAATAACAGTTGGCATGGAAGTTATGCAAACCAGAAGAACATATGTTTTCTTCTATACAGGAGTGCTGTTAAGTATCTGTAGTCTGGTTTGTTGTTAGGGATACTCATATTCAATTTTCAGACTTGATTATTCCTGATTCTACTTTCAAGAATTAAATGATTTTATTTCTCGGTTTACCAAGGTTTTCTGCTGCAAAGATGTAAATTTGGTTAATTGTGGTTGGCTTTCAACTCTTTAGCCTGCTATTGTACTTCTGTACATAGAGTTTTTGCATAATAATCTAATTAAAAATAGATCCAAAAGTTAGTTGGTATGGACTTTGCCATATTATTGTGTGGTTGACAAATAAAAGATATACAAATATATCCAATGTTTACAAACAAGACCCAGGAAAAGAAGATGCATCAGGACAAAGGATAGATCCTTGATATTATCTCAACTTGGTTCTGTCTACTCACTCTATTTTCATTTTAAAAACCCAATAACAGAAATCAAGATTACATAGTAATATAAAAGTAGGTCACTAATTCTAATTATTCAACAAAAAGAAAACAAGATCCATCTCTTGACAAAAACTAACCTCAATAAAGAGTGTTATCAAAAACCCAAGGTTCATGCACGAAAAGCTCTCGGCCATTCAGTTGCACTGTTCCTGCAGCTATGTCCTCTGCACGTTTCCTTGCTGCTTCAGCTCTTCTGGAAGATGCATCATCATCCTACAAAAACATGTATACATATGAGAATACAGAAAAATTTCGTTACTTCCACCAACCCAAACAAAACAAAAACAAGAACAAGACTCTTAATAGATATTGCAAGTCTGAAAGAGGCACAGGCAAGAGCCTATAACCATAGAAGACAACATTAGATTCTTAAGAATAACAAGTGATCAGTACCTAAAATCTACTACAAGGCCGGGAAGACCGTGACAATTTATACCTTGCAATGCTGCTAGCAGAAACACACTAATTCTACACACAAGTCCTTAAATCTACAATTACCAATCAATACAAACCTTGAAATCCATCACACACAAATTGCACATAAAAGAAAGAAAATTTTCTCTATTTGCATATTCTAAGCAATATCTTATATTGTATTTGTACACAAAAAGGAGTGGTATTTAATTACACATGAACCTACCAATCCCAAAATTATGTAACGCAGATACAGTTCAACACCAGAAAGGCAAAGAATGAGAGAAAAACAAACCCTAGCCCCTAGAAATCTAAAGCAAGAGAAATTTTGCAAAAAAAGAAAAGAAAAAGACCTTCTGGCGTTTCCAGGCGAGGAACTGGGCCTTCGTCATGGACCTCGGATTCTCGCCTTGCTTATTTTCTTGCTCTTCCGCTTCTGCTCCCATTTTTTTTTTCCTCTTTCGTTTTCTCGGATTTTTCTTCCTTCCAAACAGAGGGTCTGAGAGTCTGAGACTACGGAAAATAACGGCGTTAGGTAGTTTATTGTTACTCTTTGACGCGGGGAATTTCCTGATTCGGTGTCGTAACTTGGAGCGAACTTAATGAGAACGACGTGTCGTTCGACTAACTAAGCCTCCATAGTTAAGGTTAAGAAGATACAATTTTTTGTTGTTAAAGTTAGGAAGAGGAGGGTGTTTTCTCACGCACACTGCCAACTTGTTATTAAGGTCTGAACATAAGACAACAGGTCTATAAGTCAAGGTTATTTTCCATTAGGCTAGAACCCCGTTAATAGAAAATACATATCTTGAATGAGCTATAATACAAGTAGCCTTTAGGCTTGGACGTGGTTCGGTTTAGCGCCTAAATTATAAACGGCATCAATCATGTCTGTAATGATTTAACTAAATCGTAAAGCAACCCAACAGGATCGTAGGCCAATTCGGTTTACTTAGATTTGCAATTTGGGTTGGTCAGTTCTGGTTTTTTTTTACACCAATGTTCTAATTCTTTTGATTGAATGGTGTCTTTGTTCCCCTCTTTGAAGAAAATAATGTTTTTCTACTTTTTCAAAGGGTAAGAAGAATTCTTAATCCAAGTACTAGCGCATGTTTTTTCGAGTGCATAAGTAACCGTTCTTATCTACTCGACCTACAAGTTCATTGCAATTTTCCTTCCCACCTTTGTAAACATTAATGACTAAACCAACCTCCATGTATATGGCCATAACAAGAAAATACTCAAACATCTCTTTACTTAATTCCCTACTTTACAGTCACAGCACATACGGCCATGCATATTCTTAGGGTTTAGTAATGGTTTATGATGTAATTAATATCCAATAAGGCCTCTCAAACCATCAGCAGCTGCTCCCACCTGCCACTTTGGGATTGAGGTACGCATCTACAGCTTCACCAACAGTGAGGAAAACCCTCTCCCCGCCAATTCTATCTAACAATTTGGCCACCTTTAGCCTGTGAATCACTTGCCATCTTGGGTTGGCCATAGCTAACTGCAATCAAACGTAAACAAAATCATTGAAATCCATAACAAGTTTACATATATATCAGACACTTCAAAAAAAAAAAAAAAATTTGAACTGATGCCTTACTTCTATGCCATACGAAAACAACTTCTTGTGTATTTCTTCTAGTGCAAGAATGCCTGAAGTGTCGACATTTATCACATCTATCATAAGAGAAATTTGACATTAGTCAGCCAAAATTTTAAATTTATACCTCGTTGAGAGGTGGAATATATACGTCATTCTTTCACAATCATCTTATCAAATGAGCATCGCTCAATAGATAAAAATGAGAGAAAGAGTACATGTACAACCGCTTCCCATATTAATTAATTTTTATCAAGCTTTAGAACTACAAATAGAAGGAACTTACTAGACATGTCAAGGATTACATGTTGAATTCTTCCCTTTTCTTTCTGATCTTCAGTCTCATCCTCTTCTTTTGTCACCGACCTCATTACCCTAAAATAAACATAGCCCTAATGCATTATTTATTTGCAAGTTGATCAAATTAATTATGTCACCTCAAGAGCTCTTGATCATGCCAGTCTAATTGATTAAACTCATACCTTTCTCTCACAGAGTTAGCATTAGCAAAACAAAGCAGAGAAGAGTTTATGCCAATTATCAAGATGCTTGGAGTTTTTGTGGCCATGGGGTACTGATTGATGTTACAAAAGATGTCTGTTCTTGGAAGTCTCCCTAGAACTTCTATGCCAGGTCTAAGTGAATTCACCAATATCTTTGCAAAAGAGATGCTGACCTGCAGTCCATAAAAAACTCACAATCTTATTCCCCTAGTGAATAATTTGGCTTGATACTTGCAAGATATTCAAAATTTGACATTTTGATATAGGTTCCACCAGAATCAATCCATGAAGGAAAAAAACCTCCTCCGTCTATAGTGGACTCAGTATATATAACAAAATGAAGCATCAAGCAATATACTACTGCTATTAATGGCCAAGTGATGTATATATAGTGGGTAGCAAGATAAATGGTACTGTAGCACTTGCTGGTTCTTGCATCTCAAATTGTACAAGTGTAAGAGTCTACATGGACCCTAAAATGGGTCCTACATGGCCCCACATGCATAACAATCTCGAATGGGAAACTTTAGATTTGTCAATTGAAGGTGATTTGATCTCATGAGATCTACCAGATGAACATA